TTCTGTGTATGAGACTGTAGAGACATATCACCAAGTCCTGGAAGAATCTAACGTGCACTTGCACAGGATATACCAAGTTTGGACCAGCTTTACTAAAGACAATTAAATATAAAACTGGATTTCAAAACGAAGTCATCACTCCTGGTTAATACTGTCATCAACGGTGAGCATGTGTTTTTTGGAGGAGAGTGGGAAGGTGCAGAACAGAGGGCAAAAGTATGTTTTATTTCCGTAATGATTTTTCTATTATCTGTGCCGATGGGTTATAGATGGAGAGGAGCTGGGAAAGACATGTCACTTTTTTAAGATAACCACAGACAGATTAAAGTAAGGACACTGACCATCAACAGCTGTTCTTCTCCCCTCCCACATAAACAGAGAAGCCAGTAGTCTCCTTTACACTGATATTACGTCTATCATGCAAGTGCCTTTTACTCTTTAAAATGTTTATCAAATGTTTTCTCTTAGTTTCCTAGCTTCTTTGAGTAACAGCTTGTTCAGTCAATTGCAAAAGGCTTTCCTGCGCTACACCAACTTGGGACGTGCATTTTTAAAAGGTCTGTGAACATTTAGAAACTATATTGGGTCAAAAGGAAGTTGCTCAACTACATTTACATTAGCTATTCATAGCATAAAGCTAAGTTCTCCATTCAGATTACGGTAGGTGATGTGTGTGCAGTCTAGACACACCCTAGCTGGGGTTACAGAGCTCTGCAGTGGGCTGAAATTCCATCAAGACCCCATTCTAGGTCTTTACGTGTTACACAGGCAACCCTAACTTGGCTGAACATCCATCTGGCACAGACAGACACGTACTTTGAGTTAAGCAGACATCGATAAATGGGAACTGAATTGGCTTTATATATTGCCCCTAATCCTTCTTTTCAGCTCACTCATCATCTGCAAAAATCAGACCAAGGAACACGTCAATGACACAGCTTGAAGGAAGCAACAGCCCTTTCTATTAATCTATTAATATGTAATAGCTATAAAAGTCACCATCACACACCATCTGTCAAAATAAAATGGCTCATCATAAGCAGGGCGTACCCAGGACATGACTACTAATACCATCTGTCAATGAGATGAGAACTCCATACCCTACCCCTTCTGCAAGGATGTGCGTCATGCTCTGCCTCATGCGGTGCTACTGGTTCTGCTGCTGGCGCTGCTTCTGCTTCAACTTTTTCCATCAGCTCTAGGATTAGACACGATGACTGTTTAACTTCACAATGAAAAAAAAAATTCCTGAATTTGCACATCCTGAAACTTGTCGCACGAACAGGTTGCTAACACTTGTGACTGAGCTGCAGTTCCATGTTTTTTATTACAGAATAAACATTCCCTACGTTGCTTGCAAGCACCAAAAATTTCCTTGCAAGCCTCTCATGTTCTTCAGAACAAGAATAATCATACCTACATAAGCAGTAGGCTCAGAGCCTTTCAGTGATTCACCTTCGTATCTATCAACACCTGAGCATTCTGATCATAATTAATGGACGTGGATACTGGACAAAACCCATGTTCAATGACCACTCTGCTCCTCCAGTGATGGAAGATGAACAGATACGAAGATGATCAGGTATCTGTGTTGTTCTTACTCAGAATATTAGCCAGCTTCAGTTCTAAACCTTGCTGACAGTTCCAAATCTCTTTGGAAATGTAGAAAATGAATCTCGGTAAGTTACAAGTATACATTTGCCATCAGTGACTCATAAATACTTACGATTGTTAATCACAAGTCCTGGAAACGGTCTGTAAAAGAAAAAAAAAAATTACTGATTCTAAAATAAACTGCATGGGGTCTCCCTCCCAAGGCAACCTCGCCTGGCCTTTTGTAACAGAGGTCATGCTAAAAAACGAACAGAAAGTCGAAAAAAGAAAAGGAACCATCATAGCAGCTTTTGGGCACCGTGGTTTGTTCGCTAGCATTTTGAAAAGTAACATACACAGAAAGACATAAATCCTTCCCTTGGTCACCACTACTTAACAAGGCAGACACCTCTTCTTCAGAGCTCAATTAAACAAAACGTTATCAAGCAAGAGTCCTCTCAGTTAGAACACTTCATGACAAAGGTTGAGAATTCAGGGCCCTTAGTAATTACTTTATTTTAGAAATTTTATTTAAGAAATTTCTCTCTCTAAAGATAATCTGAAGCCTCTGTGAAGCAGTCTATAATTTGAGAAGTTACATAAACTGGTGAATTTTTATTTTAAATTCATGAACTCCTTCTTAGCATGATTCCAAAGTTTCAGCTTCATCCATACCAGTTTACTTTGTATATGTGTGCATGTGTGTCTATATATATATGTCTATGGAAACATACACACACAAATAAAATTCACTTATATTGTAATTGGACAATACTGTATTTTTAAGTATTGTAAATAAACTCATTTTGTAGGGAAAAAAAGAGCTTACCTTAACTCAACACTCTTATCACAACTGAAATATTGAAAAATATTAATAGCAATACTACTACAAACATATTATTAACTGTTAAGAGCCAAGAAGCTCTGGACTTGTCTCAAAACTTGATCTTATCAATGGGAGAGCAAGGCCCACAACACTTCAGGATTTATATTTTTGATGCCCTGCAACTTCTCTTCTTTCACATCTCAATTTACTCAAGGTACAGGGCTGTCCTCAAAACATCTGCACAAAAGAATCAACGACATACCGGACGACAGTAAATTTGATAGACTCTGCTGATTCCAGAATCTTCCGCATGGAGCTGATTTCCAGGTAACTGGGAGCTTTAAAGGCTACACCAGGCGGCAACCCGTTGACCACCACGCAGCCGGGGTTGATGGTGATTTTTCTGTACGGGACTTTCACCGGGAAATTCATACCAGTGGCTTCACCTAAGCAAGAGAGGTCATCTTTATTTTCAAGTCTACGTATTTATGGTGACATTGCAGAAATGTCCTCAGACGACTAAGAAACTAAATGCAAACCCAAGCTTCCTATCAGATCTGAAACTACGGAAATCTTGAGAATTAAACCATTACAGCGTTAGAAATGGATGTTCTGGGTGACACTCATGAACGTTACTAGTTACAACTCCACCTCTGGCAGCTCACCATATGAAGAACCCCGATTCTGTTTTTACTAAAAAAGGTACAGAACAGGGTATCTAAGGAAAGAGCTACATGAAGGGAAACAAAGCATTTCCTACAGTGCACATGAAAAATGATTCAACACAGCACCAGCGAAGGAATGTCAGGTAAGAAACTCAAGTCATTATTGCTGTACAATGCAATTACGAAGCAAAAATAAATAAAATATGCACAGCAAGAAGGTGAAGTTGCATTTTAAAAATTACTCTAGTCCCAAGTACTAAGAGATCAGAACTATGCAGCGCTAAGAAGAATCATGGTTTGCCACCAAAATAAATATTTCATCCGTGTTTACACAGAATGAAACAGGAAGCGGGGGATCATACAGCAATCCATACGCTTGGGATTTTTTGTTTAGAACACCAAACCTACAGCACTCATAAAAGATTCTTTTTGAAGTCAAAACACAATATTCATACACAATTCTCAACTTTTTTCATTTTAATGATCATATGTATCATTCAGTAGCTTTAATATGAACAACAGTAATTGCATTCACACCTATATAAAAATGGGGAGTAAGAGGCAATTACCAAATTTCCGGCTAAAAAGATTGTTTACTTGCTCTCTCAGTTGTCTGGCCTTTTCTACTTTCGACAGTCGCTCATTTTCATCATCTGGAAGAAATTATTAGCATAGCATCAGAATTGAGCAGATTTTTTTCCCCCTGAAGCTTGTTTTTCATCGCGTGTTTACTCAAAGCAGGTATATCCGAGTGCTCCGAAACGGGTGCTCTGTTCCAAGTTTTAGCAGTAACACAAAATTGCAAAAATATGCAAAAATAGATGGTGGTTAAGAAACCTATGAGAAGCTTTGAAGTATTTACATAACCAACATCAGATTTATTCTCTTAGAGGTAATTTTGCAAACTTAATCTAAGCCCACAAATTGCATTTTGTTTTCTTACCGTACATCTAACGGTGGGGAAAGGTAAAAGCAAAGTGACATTCACTAGATAGCCGTGGCATGCAGTGTTCCTCACGGTTTCTAATGACTGTAATATATGCCTGAGAAAGCAGCAGTTTTAAGACACAGGAGCTCAGCCTGCATGACTATTCAATTCAGTCTGAGTCCTGACCTCTTGAAGTTGTGAAGATAGATGTAAATCAGTATTTATTACATGAGAAAAAAGGGAAAAATATGGAGAGTTGTTAACTAGGGGCTGGACAAAGAATATTTTAGATATGTCATTGAATAGATATTCATAGAAGTTAGAAAATATTTAACATCTCAAAAAAACCAGGATGCTAAGTTATGCTCTTTGTAGGCTGTACTTGTGTTTCCGTGAACCCGCCTGACTGGAGGAAAAAATCTTCAGACAAAAAAAATGTCTGGAATATAAGCACAAAACCTACGACGTGAAACCACCAGACAGTATACACACCTTGTACAGTTACTTGGATGATGTTAAGATCTTCAATACCTGCAGCCGTGTTCACCACTGTGTTTGTTGTGCTTGCTGTCTTGGCTATGTTAGGTGAATTATTTTTTACTAAAAGCAAGAGAATTATTTTAAAGAACAGATATAAAGAGTCCAAAACCTTGTATGTCATATACAAAGAAAATATAGCAAAATAACAGATATTTGCAAATCTTTGGGTCTGTCAAAGCAGACCCAGTCCCATTTTCAAAGTGGGTTCAGCTTCCAATGAGAAATACTTATTGAAGGTACGCACTACTCTCTTTCCAACCTAAGAGGAGAAAGGGCCAGGTTAAAGATGTTAGTCTTTTCAGAAAACCAGCTAGGATTAGATTATTACAAAAAGGAAAAAAAAAAAACCTATGTGCAAAACATGTATTTTGGTATTTTTATTAACAGAAAAAAAATCATAGCATGTGCAGTTAGTTCAGTAACACCTGCTGATCCATGTGTTCATAGAAGAAATCCCTTACAGTTATATTTGTGAGCCCCACTGCCCAGTGGCACAGACTACCATAGTTCAACTAACTCAAGGAGTTTTACCAACCCATAGTAACAGATAACAATATGACTCAAAATATTTAATCCATGACCTGCCTGACACCATTTTCCACTATCTGCACTCCTACCTGTTCTCATAGCTACGTATCAGGAACAAATAATGTACTTCTAGATCTGAATTACTTCTGTGAGTCACACATTCCTTATTACATTTTGATAAAAGGTAATAAAGAATATATTAGAGGCCTGGTAATTGTGAAAAACTTAAAAATTTTTAACACTCCCTTGCTGAACTGATATCTAAACTCTAACTGGTAAGTACTTTTCATATCTTAAAAACAAACCAGCAAACCAACCAACCACAACGTAGAATGAATCTTTCAGGAATTCGTTAACACCACGCAACAGTCCTGATTTGTATTTAATCCTTGAAAGAGATCGTTACCGAGAACGTTAAACAGCTGCAAAACTCACTTTGGGGGCTTCTAGAACTTTCCTTAAGAGCTGCCTCAAACATCTCAGGCCTGCAAACAGATCGAACATTTCATGTAAAATTATGAAATTACATTCATCAACAGTAAAGAAAATGCAATTTTCTAATATTAATGTATTAAAGACAGGAGCTAATTGATATAATAAATTCTATATTCCTCTCAGCCAAATAGACAGGCAAGAATGCAACGGCTGAGAGGCTCCACAACTTCTCTTGCCATTGTTTCTGCACTGACACATGGATATCTAAACCTATTCTAGACAAGAAAAATAAATTCTTACAGCCCCCAACATATGAATCTCCAGTTCTCAGCTCTTACTACATTGCCAGCAAGTTTTAGGTGTAATCCATAACTGCTCGATGCCGTAGGAACTAGACCAGTGATGTGGTAACTGAAACAGGCTGAGAAATCTGGACTTGCTCTTCCAGAAGAGGCTGTGAGTGTCTTCCAGAACAAAAAGAGATGACTGTATCTTGCTCTACCTCTACAAGAGCTTTCTGACCATTTCCTCATTCATCAAAAATACTCCAGTGTATATTTTATAGAGTAATTTAGCAACTCGGCGACACAACTTCATTTTTTGGTCTACATTTCAATTCTCATAGAAGAGATTATCAAAAATATATGGGAGTCTTACTTTTTAATAATGAATTTTATCCTAGATTTATTTCTCAGGATCTTCTCTAGTCTTGGAATTCCAAAAGTAGAAGGTCGGCGGAACGGCACTCCTTCGGGCAGGCCTTCCACATAAAAAATCTCCGGGAAGGATTCAAACAACGCAAACGGCACCTTCACTGGTTCACTCAGCCCCAGCGCTTCCCCTGGAATGCAAGAGAGCAAATAAGCTGCCAGCTAGATAATTGATGTGTATACAAAGGAAACCCTCAGGTATAAATGGTATATAATAGTTGGCACACACATGCTAGATGAGGTGGAACCAGCAGGCTTTGCCTTTTTTGCTGAAGCTATGAGTAGGCACGAAGAAAATTAACAAAGTCTCAAACATAACTCATTCTGTTGCAGTAAATCTGATTATAATTTGCAGCTGAAAATTCAAAATGTGCAGCCAGGTCATGCCACTGGCTTGGCCTGCATACAAGACTATCCCATTTGTACTCCAGTTTATTACAGGCAACGTGTTCTGTCTCTGCTAGAGAACAGCACCAAGGGCAGGCAAAATTAGTGTTCTTGTTCCAAAAACCGCACTCACAAGAGTAATGAAAAGTCATTATTTCCAAAAGTCATCAGCTTCCAAGCAGCCTGCCCGAGAAAAAGCATTGGGATGCAATGGAGCACATCTCTCCAGATACCATCCATAACGTATGGAGTGGTGCAGAGGCTGAAGTCATACAAAGTCCCATTCATACACAGAGCAAAGAAAACTTAGAAGATGTGCCAGGATGTGGAGTCACTATGTCTCTGGGTCATTAAAGTAGTAATAATCCAACCACAACTTCTCCATTTCCAAACCCCAATAAAATAACTGGTGGAAATGTGACACAGAATTGCAAGCAACCTACATGAGAATGAACTCAAATGAGAGCTTGTCTACAGGACACAAGGATTGCAGGACTTTTGGAATAAACACGTGAACATTATCTATCACATGTCCAGCTGCGTGTTCATAAGAGACATCTCCGTAAAAAAGAATCAATAAACTTACCACATTTTTCATTAAAAAGCTTTTCGACTTTCTGCTTTAAGTCAGTAATTTTGGCATTCCACGCCTCTGCCAGGAGGAGAAATTGGAAGAATTAAATCAACACACACACAATGAATCTGTCCTTTAAGAATACTTTAATACATGTTTAATAAATTATTATGCTTGATAACCAACTATTCTGTGAACGGCACTGAAATGTTCTGCTGCAATCTAAACCTATACCCACATGAATCCTCATTTTCTTAAAGCTTTGAAAGATCCTGCTACTAGATAAAGCTAGAGTGATTAAAACTGAAATTAATTCAAAAGTGATCCAAATTTACAATACCAGGCAACATAAAATTTACTAATGCAAACCAGCACCCAAAATAGCAGCAGAAAGTTCTTCATATGTTCAGTGACACAGCCCTGAGACACACGCCTCTCTCTGAGAACTATAAGCTCTGTCATAATTTCAGCTTCAGTGGGTAAGCTTAAATGCCCACCTAGCTAGGCTTCCTGTTTCTGACAGTGATCAGCAGCAGGTGCTAAACTGGTTTATCTGTGGTCCAGTAAGTGGTTTGTAACTGGTCTACAGAACTAAAAACTCAGAGTCCAGGTCTAACAATAACAAGCGAGTCCAAAAAAAGCTGCACACAACTGTGAATATAAATACTGCCCATGCCAAAAGGAGCAGTCATACCAAATCTGTATCTTGTATTCATTCTCAACTGGCTCAGGAGGCGTAAAGAATTCATTTTTTTCACATTTTATGACCATATGGTTAAAAAGAAAGCATGGGGATAAATATGATAAAGCAAATAATAACAAATTCCCACATAAATATGAGCAAATAAACTCAGAATGTAAGGATGCTGAAAAAAAGGTTTCGTGAGACTTGGAAACCACCTAACGTTAGTCTGAATACAGTCATTCATTTCATTTGACTAGAAGGAATTTATCTGGGTTGCAAATTGATCCCACTTTCAACACAAAGATTTCTGTGCTAGAGCACTTGCACAGATAGGTCATGGTTAAAAAACTCCAGCCCAATGCTCACGAACACAACTACATGGCTTCCTGTCCTGTCTGGCTTCTCCTTGATTTTCCAGAACTGGAGAGGTTGGTAGTGGCAATCTTGCAAAACCAGCTCCGACAGATCACAGCTTACTAATGTTAGTTCCAATCCTTCCTAGTTCCTAGGTACCACTCAGGTATCCCTGCACAGTGATGCTCAATATTTGAAGTTTGTGGAGCGCTTACTAAGCTTATGCACAATATCAGATCCCAGGTGGGTTTATGCGCTCTGGTGGTACCACGTACCAGACAAGTCCTTCAAGGGACTGCAGCATTATATAGATATATAGATATATATAAAACAGAGCAGAAGTCTAAAGGAACCGATTATGAACACAAATTAGATCTAATGGACCTGTGCTGCATTTGTACAGCATTCTCCATACATCAGCCAGGAGTTCTCCAGGGCAATTATTCCACACAGTGAAGAACTGAATGTACATGAAAACAAGAACTTTAGTCATTCACTAACTGCAGAACACATCATGAATCCAAAATAGCTCTAATGTGTAATCACCAGAATTTTCAATACCAACATTAATAGAATGCATGTGTGCTAATTCCCGTATGACTCACCAAAGGAAAACTCTTTTCCTCGTGGCTTGAAAGTAACATTGGACCCATTGGTTTGAACATCTGTTGTTTGTGGTTTATTAGGACCTGTAAAAAGATATGACATTTATATATACAGAGAGCAGACTCAAGCCATCATACGGAAAAGAACAATGCATCAAACTTGATTACTAGAGAAAACTTAACTTCTGAATCAAGAGTAGAATAAAAAACCCCTTAAGATGTTCTTCTAGGGTTGTATTTAAGCATTTGATACTACTGATCACATCTGTCTTCTCTCTGCTCAAGACTACATCAGTTCCCACATCTCTGCTTGGAATAAAAGGCCCAAGCAAGCTGTCAAACTCCAACATTCTACATAACCATCATCTGCACAGAATCCAATATTATTCAGAAACAAAAAATAAAACCGATTTATATTAAAGTGCACCTGGAGCCCTGAAATGAAACAGTTTGCTACATGAAGTGCATGTATAAATTCATTATAGGCTACGAAAACTTAGAAGAAAATATTAGAATAGAATAGAATAGAAGAACTTTAGAAGAATATTTAATGAGATTTCTTCCATACCTTCTTCAACCTCCGGGACCTTTGAATTGCCTCCAGGACTTCCTGACCCTTGTGAACTCTTTGAACTCGCTGCTGCAAGTCAATACAATACAAGCTGTAAGGCACAAACCCTCTATAACGTATATCCTGCACAGCTCATGAAAAAACAGCTGGATTCAGAAAACTCCAACAGACTGACGGATCACCTGGGTCTGTGCTAAGTACAGTCTGCATTGTAAAATCTGAACAATACAGTGATGCTCACAGCCTTAAAAAGTAGGTTTGGCACTCTTGAAAAAGGCAGGTGTCACACCTAAACCTTCCCTCCACTAATTCAAAACAGAAGGCTTTGTTTTCCCTAAGTGTGAGGGACACCTTTGGTACCTTTTATTATCTAAATAACAGAATTGTTTACTTCTGATTTCTTTACAGACAACTTAAAAGACTTTCTTTTTTATTCTTTTCTTACAAGATTTCATTGTTTACTTCAACTCACAGCTATAAGTTAAATATGGTTTAGGCTATTAACAGCAAAACTAAAGTTGTTGAGATAGGGTAAATTCAATTTAAAAAAAAAGCAGATAAATTTATATTTTTGAGTAACTTTTTCAAATAATAGCAGATTTAGAGGCTACTATGCTAGATCATGCCTTTTGTTTGCAACACCTTTATTTCCCAACCACAAAGATCTCCCTCTGCTATGGAAACAGAGCAAGTATTTATGACTTGATGGCAGCAAATAATAGTTAATTGTTTACCTGTAGTGTTTATTTTACTAGCCAGCCCTGGAGGCAAATAGGAAGTGACAAGCTCGGGCCTGAAAGTTGAACAGAACACAATCCAATCAGTTGCACTTGCAAGAAAAATAATACAGCAAAACGTTACAACTTTCTTGGAATTCAGCTGCATTCCAATCAGCTTTCTACAATAAAAATCTGCTAGAAACACTCCACCTACTATAGCCACAGAAAGTTAGAAAACATAAAGCTACATTTTCTACTCTGTCATTTTCTTCTGGGTTAATTTCAAGATAAAAAGAAAAGAAAAAGGAAAAAAGCTTCCAGGTACAAGGCCATTTCCCTCCCAGATCCTTGATGCATAAAACATGCTATTTATACACCTATATAATTTTAATAAGGAAGGTATATCCTTTTATGAGATAAAACATATGTGCAAAATGTTCTGTTTCACTGACACAGAATTTAGGTAGCATTTAAAGCCTAAAGTTGCTGGGAAGAAAAAATCACACAGCTTCAAAATCAGGAGTAAAAATACCTGAATTACAAACGTACTTTTTAACAACGAATCTGATTCTGCTGCTCCCACGGACAATTCTTTCAAGGCGTGGAATTCCGAACCACGTGGGACTCCGGAAGGGGATTCCTTCTGGCAAGCCTTCGACATACAAGTAGTCAGGGTTTGATTCAAACACAGGATAGGGAACACTCACTGCCTCTGAAAGCCCCAGAGCTTCAGCTGAAAAGGAAGATTTAATAACAGTTTACCCACTCAAATGGGCGGTGTTTTATCTCAAGTACTTTTAAGAAGCTTGGCAGCTCTGCTACTTAGATAATAAAAAAACCCAAGAGAAATATTTAAATAGATTTCCTATTATTTTATGTAGAATAATTTCAAACGGTGACTTTGTCCATCTTGTTACAGATAACATCTACGCTTGCAGTGCCTAATGTTTTCTTCTGAGAACTTTCTTCATCCAAAAGCTTTTTGAGCAGATATCATCATCTTTGTCAAGCAAACGGAAAAACTATGGCCTAGGATGTTGTTATAAAGCCATTCATGCCAGTCAGAGGGAGGGTCAGTGTGGGAAAATTAGGGAAGACGGGCAAGGAGGCAGGAGACTTACAGCTGAGGTGCTGAAAAACACATCTGTCATGCTAATTGTTTCCTCAGCCTTGTGTACTTGACAAGAACCTCTGTGCTCAGATAACACAGGCCTGCGTCTGCCCTGCTGCGGGAAAGATCAAAGCACTGGGCAAGGAGGCAGGAGGAACGCAAACACGCCTCAAGAGACTTACAGCTGGGGTGCTGAAAAACACATCTGTCATGCTAACTGTTTCCTCAGCCTTGTGTACTTGACAAGCAGAACCTCTGTGCTCAGATAACACAGGCCTGCGTCTGCCCTGCTGCGGGAAAGATCAAAGCACAGTGGAAAACTACGCCTGCAAGGAATCCTTGAAATGCAGGGGAAAGCAGCTCGAGCTATCTCTTCTTCCGCTCTCTATCAAGGAGCGAGCTCCGCCGGTGCCTGCCCTCCGGCGCACGCACCCTGCGAGTGCCGCCGCAGAGATCTCTCGGCTTACTCTTTTTACAGGTGAGTTTTAAAACACAGCGTCACTACAAATTGGTTCATTTAACACATAACTTACCAAACTTCATATTAAATATCTCTTCTACTTGCTTCCTGAGCTTTGTGATCCTGACGTTCCAATCTTCTCGGACTGAAAACCAGAAATGGATATAAACGTCAGAGTACAACCCAGTTCTAGATAAAGACGTTTATTCGAACACATTTCTTTCAACACAAGAACTTGCAAACTATCAACACAATTGCATCTGAGCAGAAAAGGACATACGAGTAATGACTATTAATGGCAGCTTAAATGACACATGTAATTCCCTCTACGTAATGGAAAAATCTTTTAAATGTAGTTACAAATTTCAAACACTGGCCCAAGCGGGAGAACTCATTCTTCAGAGCCTTTAGGTGAAGGAAGGAATTATTCTAGTGGTTCTTATAAAGTTGTAATTAATTAATCATAGTGCATAAGAACAACACACTTTAGAACAGAAGATTCAGATTTAAAGAATACTTTGCTAAACATTTTGATTAGCATGAAAAAATAACCTTCAGTCCTGTTCTCTACTGTAAATAAAAGTCAGTTACAGGAGTGCCAGCCAGAGCAGACAATCTGTAGCTTAGGTAGAGAAGAAAGCAAAGGACACTAGCAGCAATAAAAAGCACAAGAAAGGATCGATACAGTCCAACACAGATCATTCAGGAATAAAAAATGATCTGATTCCTTTCCTGCATCAAAGGCACTTTATGTTTTCAAGAAGGCATTACAATTCCTTACCAACAGCAGCCTGAAGAAAGCCCAACAAAGCAGGCTGGGAAATGCTAAGGGGCTCCAGAGCTTTGTCTCGGGCCAGGAGAGTAACTCCAGCTCTCCGGGCTGTGAAGGTGATCCATTCTGTTATTCAAAGGCAGCTGGATTGCGCTACGATCCAGAACGCCACTCATGTTCATAACCAATTTATTCTTTTCAAACCTCACGAAGAGCACGTCAGCACACTCCTTACAGAAGGGTTACTTCTTGAAAAATGTTGCGTTGATCCAAATTTCCATCCACCCCCAACCCTGTCCATTCCCACTTGGAGACTGTACCTGTCTTAGCCGGGGTGTTCGACCTGGGCTCAGTAACTTCGGCTGAAGGGGTAGTTAGCAGCTCTGGTCTGCAACCAGAAAACAAATAATCTGCCCGTTCTTGACATAAATTAAATACTACTACTTATTAAGACAGGAATTGAAAAGTTTGGATTTTGATATTACATATTTCACGCTTGTGAAAATGCTACAAAGATATTGTGGAAGACTGGTCTGGATTGCATACACCCAGTTCACGCTGCAGAATATTTCATCTGCTTATTGGGTAATTAAGACACTCAATGTTTCATTACTGAAAGAAACCAAGTGCTTGATAACACCAAGGGTGTTTGTTTGGTCTGTTTCTTTAAAAAAAAAACAAACAAAAAAAACCCAAAAAACCACCAAAAACCAACAAACACCAAAACATGTTCAGGCATTAAAACAAACACTTACCTTTTGATCACAAATTTTATTCTGTTGCCTGCTGTAATTATTTTTTCAAGGCGAGGGATTCCGTACCAGGACGGACTCCTAAAGGGGATGTTATCTGGCAGCCCTTCAACACAGAGTTCAGTAGGATGGGCCTCAAATTTCTGGTATGGAATGGCTTTGGGCTCAGTGCTCCCCAAGGCCTCGGCTGTCAGAACAAAATACACCCAGTAACTGGACAGTTTGGCCATCAACCTTTATTAAAAGCTAGCTAAGCGACCAAATGGTCACACAGTTGCAATCATGATCTTAGAACCTGGGACAATGCAGGATATCTAAACCCAACAAGAGTCCAAGTCTCAGCACATCAGGAAGATAAAAATTTACCATATTATGTCATGTTGATAGAGGCAGTCACAATGCTAGACTGAAAGAGCACTGGGCTCCTCACTGGGGCACAACACAGTGGTTTCAACCCACGTTTTTAATCTATTACAGAGCATCATGCAACATTTTATTCTAACTCTTATGAAGCTGACTTTTTTTTATATTGGAGAGAACATAAAAATTGACCCAGAAATGTTCTAATACTAATTGTAATGGTACTGCAACGGATATAAATAAGTAAATGGTTGTTTTATTCACCATCAAAGGAAAAAAAAATCCAAATAGGAAGGCATTGAGGCAATTAGACAAGCTGTACATATAAGACTTATACATTTTTTTAAACTATGAATTTACCTTGTTATATAAGTAGCACAGTAATACATTATTTTTCACTCAACTGTCAGGATTTTAAATATTCGAAAAAATTGATCAAAGGTCTCATTCATGTAGACGTTCAAAGGAAATAATGAAAGCAACCTTCAAGAAATACAAAGCCATAAAAGAAAAGAAAATAATAACACTGTACGCACCAAACTTTTTACAGAAGAGTTCATCTACCATCTTTCTCAGTTTGGTGATTCTGGCACACACCCTGTATTTAAGAGTGACACAGAACAAAGACAACATTCCCTAATTATTTTTGTTATTATTTTCAGTCGTTTGGTTTATAGCATGCATAACCATCCCGCATCTTCAGGTAACCCAGAAAATACTACAGATAAGAGGTATGGATTCAAATTGTAATTAGGAAAGCTAATTATAAAAAATGACAGAATACTAAAACTGTACAAAAATCCATTGAAGAAGAGACATCTCGCTTGCTACAAAACAGAGTAGATGGGCGTGAAGAACTGCAATGCTTTCACCATCCACCTCCAATCTGTAGATACCATTTGGAGATGGGATAAGTTTTTTTGCCAGTCTCATTTTCTAAAAAAAAATTATCTTGATATTCAGTGCAACCTTTGGTATGCTTATGGGATGAAAACTTGCTTTCCAGGAATTTTCACTAAGCACTGACAGCCCAAAGCAAGCTTTGGGTGCACACAGCCGTTTGCTCCTTGCTGTATATTCCTGTTGAACTTCCAGCACCCATTTCTCCCACTGTTCGTAGACACTCCTTTTTAAATGGGGATGAATAACCGCACCAAACGACTCTAGGGATTTTGTCATTCTTCTTGAGATGGCCAGCGGCTTAGTTCCAACTCTCCAAAATGTTTCCTTGACACTACCCGAGTTAAGTCATAGTTTAGACACAGAACCCAAGACATGCCAGCCATGCAGCTCAGCATATCCAGGTCAATAAAGCTAGATTACACAGTTTTCCCATCATTTTATCACTCAAGCATCTTTGCTGATACACACACAACTCTGGAGTTCACGAGACAGTCTGGCACCTGAAGACAGTCATGAGTTTGAGTTTGTTCCTCCAGCAGAACAACAGAGCACAGTGATGATGTTAGTGCTGTCATATTGGGTGGCAGGAACAGTAACAGCTTTTGTTTCTGTTTTTTCACGTGTGCTCATCATTTGTGACCGGCAGCCCCTGCTCCCAACCCCTGGTGACGTGGTTAGCATAACTGACGCCATTTTGCAAGCGGCCATTCTTGGTGACCAAGCTGGTCACATATTCCTTCCCTTTCCCTTTCTTATCTGGCCCAGAAGGTCCTGTGAACCAAGCAGACAAAACAAACAGATTTCTTCTTCCAGTCCCTACCGGCCTCGAGGTTCCTGGGCGCCAGGCCAACTACTCCCTTCCTCAGCAGCTTCGAAGGCCCTGGGTGCCCGGCCAGCCCGTGGTGGTGATGTCCCCAGCATGGAACAGGGCAGTGTAACAGCACACGGAGCACTGTCCATAAAACCAAGCGGTTCCAGGTCCTAAGGGGGAACTTGGACCACAGCTGCTGCTGGACAGTGAGACCTGTGACCCCTGTGGCCAGGGACAGCCCCACCATCCTCTGCTTCCTCCAAGGACTGAGTGACTTGTTGTCTTTTATATCATTTTTGAGGCTGATGATGATTGTTGATATCAATACACCAAGCCGTGTATTAAGATCTGACTCGATGTGCAGAGGGCCCAGGTGATCAGGAGCTGCAGGTGAAGCTGTATTACAAATCCTGTATTACTCTAACAAATTGTGCTCCACTGATTCTGTTTGTAGAACTCCTGTGCCACTCTAATCATAAATTCTGTGCTATACTAACCACAATATCCTGTTAAGAAAACAAAACTTTAGCTGTAACTACGATTTAGTGCCGTCATCATGCTGTCAAGGGTCCCTACAAGAACCCATCTGTAGGTTGGTGTCAACCCAAGGTGACAGCAATCCAAGCACATACTGTACAAATCACTTCCTTCTTCTAAATACGACTTTGTGACCAACAAATAAAAGCTCATCAATCTTCAACAAGTGACCAGACAGGTGCCACGCTGTGGGTTTGGTCAGCATGCACAAGCAACAGCTCCTGCTCCATGGCTGCACCGCACCAGCCTGGGCCACCTCCACGGGCACTGCTCATGCGTCTCCAGCCATCTCCTGAGTCACATCGTCACCACCCGCCGGGTTTGTCTTTGAGCCGCTATCGGCCTTCTCAGGGCTTTGGGGCTGAGGCCATCTCATAAAACCTTCTTGATCAGCCCATTTCCCACAGGAACGCAAATGCAAAGCGCCTTTCTTCTGCCAGGCAAAATACAACCTCCGTACCCATCCCACTCCTCTCCTGCTGGGACACAAGCTCGCAGGGGCTATGGAGAGAGGGATGCTGGGCACGGAGCCGCAGGGAGCTGGGAGCAGGGGCTGGAGTGGCACAGCTCTCTCCTGAGATGGTGGCAGGCACGCGGAGCAGCAGAGGAGATGATGAGCTACTGGGAGAGGGGGAGTCCAAACTGGGAGAGCAGAAAACGGAGGGAAAGGAGGCTCAGGGAGCTGCTGTCTTATGAGCTGTGTTCCCTGAGACGTTATCAACAGCTTTCACAGGCGTTCTCTTCCCTCAGAAATAACACAGAGGTCACACACGAATATACCATCATTACGAATTAGCGAAACAAGCAACATAAAACATAACGCTGTGCCATAAAAATGGGTTACCGCTAGTTTTCTTAGCTACGGGGGTTTTACGGGTTATGTAAGGTACCTGCTTTGTCTTCATAATCAGTGTAACCATATTAAATACAACAAAAACAACAGAGAGAAGGGCTAATTTAAAAACCCACATAAGAGTACAGTTACGTTTAAGACCCAGTCATTAGCCTACCTACTCTTTTTGTAGTCAGATTTGGTGCTCGAAGGAACAAGAGGTTATTAAGACTCAAGACACTATCTCAACTTATACTGCAGGAAAAGTTTAATTCCTACACGTGTGAAAGTGACATTCTTATCACATAATTTCTTTGCTTAATTTAGATCCTTAATGTTCACTTTAAGTACAGTCTTTAATATACTTTTTACAACAGAAGACTGTGAGTATATAATACAACTTCATGGTGCTGCAGCAGTGCAGGACACTACCATTTATGCTTGTGTCTGTCTGAACTAAGAATTTCTCTGCTATTACCAAAAATTCCCAACCAGGCTGAGGCTGCCAGTTAGCATTTTGGGGTTGGGAGCAATTTGCTACAATTCATTCAGGCATAGAAGCTTTCAACACTTGGCTTAATTGGACAATTAACAAAAACACCCTGAAGCCCAAGAGACAGTAGAATACAACAAGTCCAGGAAAGTAATTTACCAACTAGTGTCCACGCAAAGGCACAATTCTTTCAAAACTTAATTTTTATTTTCCATACTAAACTTTTTTCTCCCAACTTGAGGGGAAATGAGTTCATGAGTGCAATTGTACCAGAAGCCTGTTCTTGTAGTCTTGTTTTTCCATGGTTATTTTTGTTACCTTTGGATGGGTGCTCAATGGAGACAAAACATGCATCTGCTGAAAAGTATTCCTAACGGCAAAAGTGGTTAGAGTGCATTGTCTTTGCACTACGATGTGAAAATGGAGTCCCATCATCTGAGCAAGTCAGATTTTTACAGTAGATTATTTATAGTACTTATAGTAATAAATGTCACTTTAACCAGTATGTTCATTACCGCGTTTCAGTTAATCTAAATTTGTCAAATATCATATATAAGGAATTATTCCATAATAATGAAATTATAATGAACATGATTCCAGTTGCCTACCCAGTAAACTCCATCAACTATGGAAACCACTGCCTTTTCTCTATGTCTAAACAGACTAACACTTACTGATTTTCCTTCTGGCCAGCTGAATCAAAACAGTTGATAGTGTTAGTATTAGTAACACTGGCTTGGATTACCAGTGGAAAATTGCTGTCATTTTGTAGCTAAAGAAAATTCAAACCAAGAGGAATTATTTGCAATGTGTTATTAGTAAAAGCAAACAGTAGCTACCATGAAGACCAACAAATAGGAAATCATACTGTACTTGTACAACTCACATGTTTGAAGACCTACCTCCTCCTCCTCCTCCTCCTCCTCCTCCAACTGCCTTGTCCAACGATACATTTTCATCTGTTAAATTCAAAAGCTCATGCCTGAAAGATTTCATACACATGCGTCAACAGTGACATACACTTTGATAACCAGAAGTTACAGCCTACAGTTACAGCCTCAAGTTACTGCTGAAGGATCAGAAGGAACAAACAAACAAACAAAAAAACCCCAACAGTGGACATTATGATCCCAAACATTAAATTCCAATTAACACCAAAGTATTTTAAGAACAGGTTGGAACCCTACCGACAAAAGCATTCTTCATGCCTGACACCAACATCCACCCGAGCCATAACATTTAATGCTAACATACAGATCACATCAAAATTTTCTCTGAGGTCTAAGACGCACTTCACCAGAAAAAAAAGTTCCAAATCAAAAACTCAACCTTTAAAAACAAAAATCTCAAAGGAGACATTTCTGTTTTCCAAACACATCTAGTTTTATCCATATTAGAGCACCAAAAAATTTTAAAATTCTGACATTTCTCACAGAGCTGAACTGGTTTTTGAGCAGTTCTAGTTGCCACACACGACAAAACCGATGAACAGCATAAATTAATTACTGTTAACAACTAAGACAAATTTGACAAGAGTAGGTGCCAGCAGTGCATAAATATTGAAATCTACACATAGGGTCTGATTTTAAGTGAGCCAAAAGGTAGTTCTACACTTCTTCCTCTTTTCTGGTTATCTGCAAGTGTTAGGATGAGAGAAACTGAACGTACACCTCTGAAATCTGAGAAATCAGGATCCCTGCTAAAGGCGGCATGCACAGAGGCATGGGCTGTCACTGCCACCAGTCTGAGTGTGACCACTGCCATCGGCAGATCCCTATCCACTTGGAAAACTCTTGGATTAGGCCCTACGCCACCGAACAATAGTAAAATATCAGCTGTTACTCACAGAAGCTTCATTTAAACTGTAAATTCCCATCTGTGGTGTGAAACATCACATCTGCCTGAACCAAAACTATAAAAGGTAGATATCCACCCACTAGCAAAACTGCAAACCACCCTGCCACAGTCGTACCCACAGTATTGGATCTCAAAGGGCTCTGCAGCTCCGAAATCCAGCACTCAGCATCCACAGAGCCTCTCCCTGCACACCCTGAGTGCAGGCTCAGGCCAGGCTCCCTCCCAGCACCATCTGCCACTGCAGCAAGTAATGACAGGGTTCTTCCAGGAAAGACACCAAGGCAAGAAAGGAGCAAAAGAGGAAAAAAAGGGGCCCAGAACATCTCACGAATCTCAGGTCCTCACTTCAAAGGCAGGAACACATTGCCAGGCTAGCTACAGCAGGTAACCGAGCCCCCAAGCAGTTTCTACGTGCATCTAAGGTCTCCCTTCATGTACACTATCTGATCCGCCTCCAGACACACCAAAGACACGCATCCAACTAACTCTCAGGAACCAGCAGCTATCTTGGCCTCAAGCCTGCCCTGGGAGATGCTCTATGTACAGATATGGCCATAGATACCTCGATACAACATTCCAGCAAGAGAAAAATAAAAGCACAACCTGGTCTAGTGGGAGGTGTCCCTGCCCAAGGCAGCGGAGTGGAACTCAATCTTTAAGGTCCCTTCCAACCGAAACCATTCTGTGATTCTATGAAATTTAGGTCAGGATCCTCAGCTAGCATAAAATATCCCCTATGGTCAATGGTTTTCCAACACATATTACAGCCGTAGAGATTAAAATAGTACAAAGAGATCTACCCAAGATAAGAAGTCTGTAATACTAAAGAGATCTGTCCAGATCTCAGCCACCACCATAGTGCTCCAGTGATCTGATAAACTGAATTTATCGGAGTGAACATCAACTATAAACTACCCATCAGTACTCCAATAGAATATGTCAGCAGAAATCAGTTTTGGAAGTTCTCGAAGATAAAATGATGCAGAGTGGAGCTAGCAGTAAATAATGAGTAATATAGGGACAAAAAAGCAAAATTCCTTACTTTTTAATCACAAATCGGATCCGCTCCTTTGCTAGAAGTATCCTCTCCAGACGGGGAATGCCGTACGTGGATGGTCGCCTGAAGGGAATTCCTTCTGGCAGCCCTTCCACATATAAGTCTTCCACATGTGACTGGAAGAGTGGGTATGGGATAGACACTGGACCTTTTGCTTGTATAGCTTGAGCTTTAAGAAAAAAGGAGAAGAAAAGCATTAGACTGGTTTGTGGCTCTACTCAAATTATCTGTTTGATATCACTCTGAAAAACATCACAATTAGTTGACAGGCAACACCCGCCCCCCCCCAGCACATTTAAACATGCAAGCATTCATATTTGTGGGGGCTTGGTTTTGTTTTATAGGAAAACCACGAATTCACAGTGTGCAAGCTGCAGACCTGCATACATATGCAGATTCTCCTCTTTTCCTCTTCCTCTGTAAATATTTAATAACAGAGACCGCACCTGTTACAGTGAAGTTTCACAGTATTTGGGTTTTGTTTAATAGCACATTTTGAAAGATGAAATCATCTAGACTTAATTATAAACCAAGCACGTTTCAGTTCATTAACTCTGATTATTATCATTTGTTGCTGCTATTGGGTTACAAGAGTCATTAATGCCTTGGACAAAGGGCACACATCCCTTCTTTTGAGTGAATTCCTAAAGCTTCGATGTATTTTTGGAAATCCAAGGGATCAGTAATGAAATAAACAATACACTTCTAACACCGCTGAAAAAAACATGGCCCTCCTAATGAGATCTTGGAAGCAAATAACAGATTCACCCACAGCTGGAAAATAACCTCAGTGGATTTCTTTACGTTATGAGGACGGTGATCATATCAATACACCGATCGGGCTGTCAAATACTGGAGAATGGTGTGATGGTTTGCAAATACCAAAAGGGCTGATTTGGCTGATTTCTTTATACTCACAAGGGTATGTTAATTCTTAGGCCATGCAACAAGAATTCTCTATTACCATCTGACCGGTCTGCAAATAGTTTGTCATGTTCTGTTGTTTTGCTATGGAAATTAGATGCAAAATATTATTCGAGGAGAGAAAGGCCAAATTAGAGTACAGTGATGCTGTTGCAGCGTTTCTGAAAGGAAAACTACTCAGGGCACCTTTTCAAGCAACTTAATGTACTGTGAAAGCAGCCAGTGGTTCAGACATCGGTAAAAGGAATAAAACAATTCAGGTTTTCAAGGCATTTGGGTAATGTACTCATTCAACCACTTGGAAGCAGAACAGATCCAGGTATGCTTATCACAAAACAGGGAAGCTTTGAAAACACTGTATCTTAGTCTTACATTCTGATGAGATCTGAATATCAACATTTTAGAAAAATTTTAAGAACTGTGTTTCAACTAAACTTGGTTTCAATGGCCAAATATAAGACGGCCAAAACTGGAGACAGAGAATAGATACACAGAGAGGGACACAACCCTGGAGACGACTTGGCAAACAGACTGCAGAAACCCTACTCAGTCCTGCGTCAAAGGAGCTGCAGAAGAACCACCAAAAGAGCTGTTGTGTATCACACCAGTCCTTCATTAATGTAGATTTTTACTGCAGTCATATACCTCTTCCGAGAAATTAAAGTTATTCTCAGCCCTGGAGGCTGTTGTGGCAAGTGGTGAAAAACATAACAAATCCAGCAGACAAGCCTCAGGTGGAAATGAGCTTTTGTGAACCCGTTAGCCACTGGAAAAATGATCAAGAACATCACTAAGATCCAGATCACTGCACAGGGTCAAGTAAGGACAGCTGCAGAATAACACAAATCCTGTCTGTGTTATAAGTAACTAACAACAGGTTGGCTTTTACAAGAGAGTCTCTATTTCTTTTAAATCAGCAAATGTTTCAGCAAATACTCTTTGGACAGCCTAAGAACACGACCAGCATCGCCCTCTGCAGTGAAGCTTCTCAGATTTGGAACATTACATATTTTTGCTACTGGATACAGGTTTCATTTTTCTAAATTAGTCTGTATTTGTGACAAATCTTGTACTTACACTAAAAAGTAATCCCATTTAGTTTACATCTAAACACAAAAATAAACCATATATTTTCAGCCATGTCAGCTGTAATGGATAACAGTGATTGACATTGCTAAAACACTTCGGAGCTACAGAAGCCAACAAATCTAAGGAGCATTCTAGGAATTCTGGACATCCTCAACACATTTCAGTAAATGGGAAATTGCATGCCCAGACAGACAGAAAGAATTGGAATCCAATATGGAACTGGTTTATGAATCAATGAAACATTGTCATCCACAGGGAAAAAGGTGATAATTTAATACCATGTGGGCGGCTATGGAAAGTCACGAATGGCTCTGTATTCAGCAGACTCCACAGGAGATTTTTAGGCTGGCTATGTGCAAACACCAAAAGCAAAATTAAAGCAATTCACTATGAATGATGCTCCTTTCGAGAGCAATAAAAATACTGTAAATCAGATTCTGAACTGGTTTTACTTGGTGTGAGTTGCTTTCAGTGGGCTGCTTAAATGTCAGATGATAGTCACACCTAAAACACGCCAGAACTCCAAATCACAAGGTCCACTCTGAAAGTACTTCCACTTTTCACGGCAGAGGAGCACCACCATTTCTTTTGAAATTTTTGCTGATGCAGATTTACTCTGTGATCTGTGGACACAAAATATGCCTAGGTGCAGCGTCTGGAGACAAATTCCAAAGTCTAACGTGTGTGCTCCTTTTTCACTCCAAGAACCATTAACATACAATTGTTGCTTCATTGCAAATCAATCATAATCAAACTGGAACAATCAATCAGTGGTAACCTCTCCCCAAAGCTATTTTAAAAGATAATTTCACTGAAGAAATCTGTAATTACAGAAAAAAGGCCAGTGCTCCCAAACATGGGTGCCCAAGACATGAACACACTGGAGCTCCTGGAAACTGAGCACAACTGAAAAATAAAATAGTTTTAAAACTGAGTCTGCTCATCAAAAAAAAAGCTATTTTCTCTAGTTTTAGGTCTTCTAATAATATTTAACCCTTTACTGGTGTCAGTAGTGGTGTGCCTCTGAGCCAACAACAAGATGCACGCCAAAGAGCTGTGATTTACGGTGTCAAAGGACTAGAGGCAATTGTTTGGAAAGGAGTGTAACACATACCGTATTTTTTTTCAAACAGCTCTTCAACTTGCTTTCTCAAGTGTGTAATTCGTGCATTCCATTTCTCTGCAAAGAAGAGAGGAGGACACGTCAGACTACAAACGAAACTGAGAATCTCTTGTAAAATCTGTGTTATCAGGAACACAGTGTGCTTCCACTACTCATTCGCATCCAGGTGCCTGTGGAGTACAGGATAGGCAACACCTGAAAATATATGGATACATTCAGAAAGAAAAAGGAGAGAATAAAATGTTTAGAGAGGACACAATAAAATAAAGTAGAAGATTACCTCCAAAACTTGTGCAGATGTTAAATCAAGTTTAAAAATAAAATATAAACTCGGCTAAAGTAACTTTCCAAAACGATTTCTCTTTGACAGCTCGGTCAGCAGCTCTCACTGCCATCAGGGGTAAAGTCCATTTGCGGTTGCTGTTGATAGTGATCTAGATCTGGGCGCTGAAAAGTTTAATTAGTGAAGCTTGATGAAGCTTACAGCAAGTACAAGAAGTTGTTTTGGCGCAAATCTGTACCACTGTCTGGGTCACGAGGCATCGTGCCATCCTCTACCTTAATAAGGAGGGTGCAGTGAGGTGGGTGCTGGCCTCTTCTCTAAAGTAACAAGTGATGGGACAAGAGGAAACGGCCTCAAGTTGCACCAGGGGAGGTTTAGGCTGGATATTAGAAAAAATTTCTTCACTGAAAGAGTGATGAGGCACTGGAACAGGCTGCCCAGGGAAGTGGTGGAGTCACCATCCCTGGAGGGGTTCCAGAAACGTGTCGATGTGGTGCTTAGGGACATGGTTTAGGGGGTTGGGTGGTGCTGGGTTGATGGTTGGGCTTGATGGTCCTTGAGGTCTCTTCCAACCTTAATGATTCCATGATTCTGTGATTTAATCCGGGATTTCTCCAAGTCCTGATGTTGCAAAACATTCCTGTAAATCCTATTTCTAAAAGAAGATACAGGCTGCAAGACAGAAGTTCCCCAAATCCAATCCCGTGTTCTGTGGAGAGCTGCATTAAATGGCAGGATATTAATATGTAATTTTCTGGCTGTGACAGAGAGCAGACGTTTTCACAGCTTTTTGTACTATCTCAATGCTTTTAGGAAAATGCCACAACTCTTCTGTAGATGTACCAGATGCTGGCTGGCTTTTTAAGAATGAGTTAATAAGCAAGTGTATTTGCAGCTTATTTCTTACACCAAAGACTTGAATCTAGTAACTACAGAGGATAAAAAATGAGGCCATTCAAGCTATGATGCTTCCAGTTGTCAAAAAATTCTTGTATCAGACAAGACAGAGGATCAAATTTTGAGTCCATATCGAAAGGGGTTTAAATATTTGTTCGCAGATGAACGTACACAACTTTGGTTGCCATGTTTAAGCTTACATATTTTTAAAATGCAATTTCATGGATATCAAGAGGACAGCATGCGTCAGATGTGGGCGAGAATAAGACCTCATTTAGAGGGGAAAGCGTGTTTTGGCATGCTGTCTTGCATCCACACACACTCTTCATTCCAGTTACCTGGCATATCACCTACATCAATTAACCTGCTTATATTTTGAAATAACATCCTTGTGGATAAATCTATGTAATTGCTTCTGCCACCCTTTTTACCACTATCCTGTAGTGCAGCTTCTTCACTGATAAACATGTCTTGAGCTCAAGATTTCCTGTTTCTGCATCACTTCAACCTTGCAACATGTCCCTCTTTAACCACAGATGTACAGCCAGGTGAAGCTCTTGCTGACTCCACCACAACCACTGACTGACCTCTGGTTTGCCATCATACAGTACACTAGTAAATTCAGTCTTATCTTCCTGTCCAAGAAATCAGCCGACAAAAATCTAGACTTTTTTATTTTATTAAATTACTTGCAGAGTCTATTTAGCTGGTCACTTTGAACAATGAGAAATAACAGAGGCAGCCTGTGACGATGATTATATTGCTGCAATACATCTACAAAGAGCCCTGGGCTCTTCCATGAATACTCCCACTGGCACGTCTCACTCCCGCAGTGTGAAAATGTCTAATACCTTTTTATAAAACAAAGCAGAGAGACAAAAGAATCAATCATGTTTATCTTACCAAAATCGAACTCTTTTGTTCTTCTTTTCCCACCACTGGCAGCTTCATTAGCTATCTCTGTGACCTTCTGTTTCTTGCTAGGGGGCAAGTAGTCCTCGTCATCCTCTTAAAGAAACATAAAAATATCACTGTTTTAATGTCCAGACAGCTCGTGTGCAACATGGAAACCACTCTGAATTTCAAAGCTCTAATACAAATGTTGGACTGCGCTTTACCAGGTCATCCAATTTTGCAATGAATTATTTATCTGAGAAACTTCAGAAAGCTACTGGCCCGGGTAGGAACAATTTGCAGAAGAGAGCCAGCACAAGGCGTAAGATAGCAAAAACCAAAAGTTCTTCTGTACTTCCTAAGGAAGTATTGTGTTCTGAAACATGACTGGACATCTCATTATGATAAAATGACCATGCAACAGCAAAGGAAATCAGGAAATAAATTGTGCAGACATAGACTACATTTTTTATCTACTTGGAAGTATCCTTCCACTAAGTTGTCTTGAAACACAGTACTGAAGGTTTAATATTGAGGAGCTCAAAGGTCCTAAAACCAGTTTCAAACCAATGTAAAACTGATGGATGGAACTGAAACTCATTTAACAGGTCAGCCCTACCTCAAACATACACAAATAGTGGGGGAAAACCGCAAACCCCAGGTATTTTTCAGTGAGCTGCTACTTAGCCAGTCACTTCCCAGTCCAAACCATTATCTTCCCTACTGGTTAATGAGTTTTTAAGACTGTCCAATTACCAATACCTGCAACCTTAGAGAAAATAAAAGGTTAAAGCAGACAAAGAAAATTGAAATTAATTTCCCATACCAATAGCATCTGCCCAGGTCACCAGGGCATGGTTTACTTAGGAAGAATAGTATTACACACTGACCTCTCTTGCACCTACACAGTTGTATTATACTCTGTTAGAGAAAATCTTTCAGAGCATTTTTACTTTTGTGGTAAATGCCTTTATCTATACACTCAATGTCTATTCTCTTACTACCTTTTCTGTTAAGGTAACGTAAGAATTACTTGGATTACTGGATTACAAAAAGGTGAAAGCAATGCCAGAAGTGTCCACTTGGTCCTAAAATGTCTTGCCTAATTTCTAAATTGCTAATTTGGTAGTCTTAATCTTGCCCATCCCAGAAGCAAGCATTGCAAAAGCCCATCTCAGAAGGGTTTTAAAGTAGTTACAGGACATGTAATTCACAACCACCAGAAATACAGCTGACTCCCAACATCCCAGCATGAAAACACGGACACTGGTTAGTGGCTTCAGTGCCATTTAGATGAGAAAGGGAGGTGGTAAGTGTAAAGGTTTTTATCTCATATTTATCAATATTAGATAAATAAAATGAAGCTCATTTACATGACCTGTAACACATCCTTTCTGCTATGATACAGTTCTTCCCAGAAGCCAGTGTTAACTAGAAATCTTGTGTAACTACACTGTGCCTATAAAACGTGTTCTTCAGGATGAATGTTGTAAAATCTTTTTAAAATCTAAATTAACGGCTGTTAAATAATGAGTGTTCTTCATTATCAATGTTTGAAAAATATGTGAAAGATGCAAATCTGTCATGCATCATTTCAAAACCAGACCATTAAGTCCAAAAATATGCTTCAGTATATGGTGGTTTTATAAAACTTCCGGACTGGATGTTTACCAAGCAGTGCACGATCCAAACTGCAGTCAAGGCTGGCACATCACCCTCTCTATTCAGTGCCAAGCAATGCAGGCCTTATAAAACATTTTTTGGACATAAAAATTCCAATTACACTGAAATCAATGAAGTGGAGAACTAACCTTCGATGGTGACCTCGACCTCAGGATCCTCACTCGTTTCTGAAGGGGTGCGCTGGGAGGACTCTGAAAGGGAAAAACAGGACTGCTGAATGATGGGTACAGAAGAGGCTTTTAGCCAAACACTCCGTGATTTTGTATTTAAACTAACACTTGTCAAAGAATAACCCTGGCTCACTGAAACGTTTTGCATTCACAGCATGCAACAAAAACAGAAGCAAAGATATTTTACTATAAGCCTTTAAGCAATTCCAGACAGGGGTAAGGAGGTGGGGATTATACTTGCTAAATTGTGTGTGCAGCAGGGCAGAGTTGTTGTTAATGACACTAGGAAATTCCTTATTCTTGGCTTAACAGGATTAATACAATCATAAATATTTTTCTCTGTTATCAAGGATTACTGAAAACATAAACAAAGGCTGTGTGCTCCTACAGATGATGTATTTCTTTACCATTTCTATAGACTCATAGCTGTTACACTAGAATGGTTTCCATAACAGGCTGCAGGGCCAACAGTGAAAAATGAGAGAGAAATTCATAATCACAATGCTTTCGTTGGGGCAGTCTGCACCAACATAATAAATAGGATTAGGCCTATCAACACTTGGTGGGAGAAAGAGCAATTTGCATTGAACTGCTGTAAAGTTTTAAAAAGTAAGGCTAGTTATACGGGAAACTATTTCAAAACTAAGTAGCAGTGTACGAAGGAATATAATTATTCCGGCAGAGTAATGCTGTGCTTGTGCATTTTGAAGAGTATCTTCTTTCAGATCTCTGTAAGCTGGAAGCACGATATCACTTTGGGAGCGAGTCTGAAGAAATCTCCGTTTCAAAGGCTCTTCACACGATGTTGTGTACAGTAGAGATGCAGCAGTATCTACTGAGACACCTTAACTGGAGTATATTCGAACTATGTCCAATATATCATCGCGTTTATGGAAAACATAATATGATGTGTTGATCTAATTCAGAGTGAGTGCTGGGTAAATAACTAGCAAACGCAAAGCAAAACAAAAGGAAAGAATTAGGAGGTAATGGTCTTCTAATAGATGTGAACATGAAATATGGTCATAAAAATAACTATCACATCACCTGATCATTTAGAATATTTTTTGAGAGCATCAGAAAAGGTAAAAAAAAAAAAAAACAATTTTTTTTGAAATTTAAGAACAGCCACGAAGACTGCCAAATGGTCCTTCTAGTCCAGTACCAAATCCCTGGGAAACAGCATTAAAAGAAACGTGCAAAAATGTCAAAGCAGATGGTAACAAGGTTCTGGAAGAATACTCCCAGATGGGATTTTGCTTCTTAAGTCATATTAAACCAACTGGTTTAAACACTAAAAGGTGTTTTTTAAACAAAGTATTATCATCACGAGGTATTTTCTGATCTCGGGTAAACACACAGAGCTCCTAAGCAGCAGCCTTCTTCACAGTTCTATATGTTGGCATTCACTGGCACTGTCTCCAGTTTCTCAAACACGATTTCATTCAGTTTAGAACAATTTCTTTTGACGCACATAACCTTAATTTCTGATTGCCGAATTTCAATCCCCCCATGCTCCCCACTCATCCAGTCCCACCAAGACCTCAGACACCTCTATCAGCTACAGTTCATCTGGGGGATTCCAGGCACACATCACTTTGCCGTGTCCTTTTTCACCATCTTGCCAAGGTTACTGGGGGGGAAAAACAGTGAACCCCCCCAGTGATATACACCAAAAGATGCCTTCATACATCCTCTGATATTCTTCTGCGAAGAAAACAATAATTTCTGCAGATCTTCTGCATCACAGGCTGTAGGGGAATTTTAAATGCCTATTATATGTATTTCCTTAATAATAGCTAGAAAGATATACAGCAAAGCCTCCATAAAATCCAAACACTGTCATTGATTTTTCTTTCTTACTCATTTTTGTGAAGATCAGCAATAAATAATTTTACTTCACAGAGTCCAGACAAGACTGCCTATGCTGTATGCCTATTTAAACAACAAATGAAATTAAAGTGTGACTGTTACCTGCAATTTTTAATCACTGCCTATAGACCTTTTGATAAATACTAAACTTTGCGAACAACAGGTTTATTCTGTTCAGCAAAACCAGGGTGCAACTTTCAGCATATCTCCTACAGAAACTTGTAGAGGAGAACAGATTTGAGAAAAGGGTGTGCAACTAAACCGCACTCTGACACCATGGGTCACACGCAGCATCTGTAGCTATAAAATTATCGAGTCAAAAACAAAGCAGAGTCAGAGTCTCGGTCATTTCAGATCACACTGCCCTTTCCTCAGACTCTCTCTTCACAGTCAGGCATAAAGCTCATGGCATTATGCTTGGGAAAACAAAATACTAGATTATTTCTTCTCAAATAAGTAGAGTCAACAGTGCAGTTGGCAAGAGCAGAGAGCTTTATTCTGCTTTATCAAGAGATGTGCTTTTAAACCCCATGTAATGGTACCTACCTATGGTAATATTTACCTTCAAAGCAAACCTAATGGGATTTGCAAGGACGAGTACCGCTGCTACCATAACAACATCCAAAAAATACTCACAGCTCAGGTTTGAGTCAGATGCTTATCATGAAACCAGCTGCAGAATGATGTACTTTTAACATCACGTCAAAGCATTACATGTCGGGTGACAATGTAATGTAAATGGAATTTATGATTTAAAAGAATGACGACTCCCATCACAACTGGCTTAAGTAAGCCACAGAGTGGATGATTTGGGAGATTAAAAGCAAAACAAAACACTCAAAAGCCAATCTCATGGAAATGTGGAAAGAGAATGGTTGGAGAAGATGAGCAACTTTAAGGTGCCAACTTTTCAAATATTTCTGTAAAAAAAAAAATCTAATTATGGTAAATTATTCTCATGAAAAAACATTTCAAATCTCTAACCTTCTACCGGTATTTCCACATCTGTTCCTTCACTGCAGTCGGAACCCTGGTGGCTTCCTTTAGACAAAGTAAAAAACATACCGTAATAAAAATACAAAAGGAACTTTTAACATCAACTATTCAAAGCAAGAATTTTCATATGCGAAAAATCCAGAACGATAAGGTACACATGAACAACACACAGAAGGCTCAATTTCCTAATCTTAAATTCATGACAGCAGGAGCACTCTGACGTTATAAAGAAATTTATGGGTTACAACGCAGATTAGTGTTTTCTAGAGTTTGCAAAGGGGCAGACCAGTATTTTTAATACAGACTGTAAGGAGCTGAAAAAAAAATGTACAATTTTGGAGTAAATTTATTTCAGATATTGTTCATATACAGTGAGGAACTCCTTCCACTAAACACAGACTTCCCATATGCTTTGTTCTGTACATACCCATTCACCTCACACACAGCTGAAAGAAAGAAATGATCAAGCTGTACTCATAACGCATAAGCAGAAGTTCATTAAACTTTATAACCAATTATGCAACAGACTGAATTTCATGAGAAACATATTGACTTGTACAAATTACTAGTGCTTTAGTGATCAACCTGATATTCCCTTTCGAATTTAGGAAAGAAATGAGATTCCCTTCTATATGTCTCTCTACTGGGACACCTGAAAATTAAGGCAACTGAAGTTTAAGTTCCAATTCTCTAACTCTTAGGAAGCAGAGCCTTGAAAAGCAAACCTCACACATTCAATTTCCAGAACAGATGTGAGAAAAACACAACTAAAAGATCTACCTGTGCAACTTTTTGCAGCAGCAATTTTTTCATCGATCGCTGATGTTTCGGAAGGGCCTGCTTGGGAACAAAAAGAAACTGAAATTGTATCTCACAAGCAACACCTTTTCCCAGTCCATATATATGTCCCACTTCATGTATCACACGCTCATTTCATACTTTCTGTAAGGGTGAGCTTAGGAAAGACCGCGTGAAATATTAAGAGCGTATAAATCCTTACTCATCCATTTCAACAGAATGAAAATGTTGAGGGGCTAATGGCAGGCGTGTGCACTTCTCGAACTACTGAACAGTCAGAGACTCAATAATCTGATTTTAAAACATGAAATGGTGATGGTTCTGCCCTTTTTCAATGAATTTTTAATCAGCTTAATCTTTTCCCTGTTTGATAAAATGTGTATTCCTAGGGAGTCCTTTGGGACTTTAAAACTTCTACCTACATTAAATAGACAAAATTCAGAGAGATTAAAATAATTTACACCACTTCAGGGTTGTTTGCTTTTCATCACACCAGCTCTTTTGATGGCTGTATACAGCCTACTTCAAATAGCAGAAAGCAGCCCACAAACAACACTTAAAAGATGAAATAAACACCCCTAAAATCCTTCTGCTTGGTGCTTTGGCACTCCTGCAGTTCAGCTGAAAGAATGAACAGCACAAACGGCTGCACGCTGAGCACGAGATCGCTCTATACCACAGAAATAGCGTAGGTATATAAAACTAGCCTATGCGTGGCATACGGGAATGCATGGGACTAACTGGAACGGAAGGGTTCGGACTAATTGCTCTGCATAAACCGAACCATTGCTGCCTTCACTTGTAAATATAACCTGCAGAAGATCATAGAGCTCCCTAGAAATTATGGCTGTTTAGAGGTAGCTGCAAAAGTGCATCGACAACGAATATTAACAGCTTCACAACAAAAGAGCTCCTGTTAACTAATAAGGCAAATGTTTTAAATTCATTATTTCATACAGTTAAGAAAAGATAGGAGAGACCAGTGTCACCATCAGACTTATTTCCGTCAACCAAAAGTACATCCACAGTATCAAATACTAGGAGTTATTCAAGAAAATTAGTATTTAGGGATTAAATTTTTAAACGAAACCCATGATTGTTAGGTGGTTACAATAATGTTTGCTTGAGATCGTTCTGCCTCATTTGTTTGCTCAGATTTTCAAAGGGATTTTAGAAGAACAGGATTTCAAGCGAGGAACCTACACAAGGTTCCTTGTTCTATATGCATTTCTTTCAGTAAGTGCTGCTTTAACCCGCTCCTGCCG